CGTGTATTATAGTATAGATTAAATTCATCATCCAGCTGCTGCTCTGCAGAATTCTCTCCCCAAGAGCTGAATCACGCCATCTAGCGGAAAATCACGCGGCTTTTTTCAAATCACGCGAGAATGTGTACAAAACAACAAAGATGGCACCGGCTCAGCCTAACTGGGTTGAAATGAAGGCTAGGAGAAATAAAATAAAAGAAGACGCCTGTTCTGAAATGTTTATGTAGCCAGTGAAAGATATAGATTAACCTAAAAGGGAATGTCCTTGATAAACGGAAGTTGTTTTCCTCCAAATGTTTGCCTGTGAGAAAGTGCTTTATGCAGGGGTGGGATGGTCCCAAGGGAGAGTGTTAGGATTTGTACAGTATAATTTTTTTTAGCAATACTTTGCTGACAAAGCTGCAAAGAGATCACAAGCTGGATGCTGTTGGTTGGCTTTTGAGGATCTTTCCATTAATAGTGATTAATTTACTCATTTAATAACATTACATCATGTAAAAGCTGATTTCTGCATTACCGGTAGACTAAAAATCCTAAAAAAAAAAAGCAACAAAAAAAAAGTTTACCTCGTCGTCCTTTTCTTCTGCAAACTCCTCCCCTCCATCATCTGTTCTCCTCTTCATCTGTTGTCCACCTCTCTCATCTTCTATGTGCTTGTCGTGTTTTCCTCTCTTCTCTACCTTCTCGTCTTCTGCTTCTCTTCTCCTCTTTGTCCCTCGACCTCCGTCGTTCCTCAAATGTTTCTCTGCTGCAGGTTCTTTAGTTGTCTTTGGGTTTATTTCCTTTTCTCTAGTTCTTCTCACCTCTTGGGTTTCTGAGCTTGGTCTACCTTTCTCTTCTTTATTTACATTGTGTGTTTTCTTGTTGTCCATCTTTTTCTGATCCTTTTTGTCATCTCTTCTAGTCCTCATTTGATCCAGTTCTTCCCCAGTTTTCTCTTTCTCCGTTCTCCTGGTCTTCATTCCTTCTCCTTTTCCTTCACTCTTCTCTGTAGGTTTCTCCAGATTCCTGGGTTTGTTCTTCTCTGATTTCTCGTCATCTTTTTTGCCCTTTTTGGACATTGTCTCCATTTCCTCCTCGTTTCTCCTGCTCTTCAGCACTTCTTTTTTGACTTGGTGTTTCTCTTCAGCTTTCATAGCTTTCTCAGTTTTTCTTCTGTCCTCAGGCGTACTATCTTTCTCTGCTCTCCTCATCTTCATCCCTTCAGTTTTCTCCTCCTTCTCAACTTCTCTAGTTTTATCTTCCTTATTCTTCCATTCTCTCTTCCTCCTTTCCGATTCATCCCCATATGCATCCTTGTTCCTGGTTTCTCTGACCTTCATAGTTTGTTTCTCCAGTCTTCCTTCCATCTCCGCTGCCCCGTTGTCTCTCTCAGATTTCCTGATCCTTATTTCTTCTCTACTGTCATCCTTCTCCTTGCTCTCAATTCTCCTCATCTTTCTGCCCCTTTTTTCCTCCTCTGATGTCTGCTCATCTCTCGCAGCTCTCCTGGTCCTCACCTCCTCCTGTTTTTCTTCCTCTCTATCTGCTTTCCTTGTTTTTCTTCCATGCGTTTCCTCCTCAGTTCCTCCCATCTTTATCCCCTCTCTTCCAGCTTCTGTCTCCTCTTTCTTTCTTTTCAAACCTCTACTCTCTGATGTCTGATCCATCATCCCTTCACTGCTCCTCGAATTCCGGTTTTCTCTTGCTTCCCTCCTGTTATCTCTCTCTTCCTTCTTCCTCTTGACATTTTGCATCTCCTCCTTTTCCATATCTATTCCCCTCTTTCCAGAAGTTGCCACATGGGGAACATCATCGAGCTGCAACAGAGTAAAGAACTTCAGGAAGGAGATACATGATGCTTCAAAGAAAAAAACCCGGATTTATTGAACCTTAAAAAGAGAGAGAAAAATTCCTCCTAAGGAACAACAGTGTCTGAATATCAAACATCCCTGCAGAGTTTCCTCAGCTTCCCCATACTCCAATCACGCTGTTCTATTGGTAACAATTTGCCTCTGAACCAGATAAACACAGCGGAGAAAACGGCTGGAGGAGGGGGAGGCCTTGCAGAGGAAAGACTATTTACTGCTCAATAAAACAAAAGGGAATTCCATCAACAGACAATAAAAAAACTTAAAGCGTTATGCATATCAATTGGTTCACTTCCTTGGCAAAGAAAATATCTAAATTGTTTTATTTTATTGTTATTGTATTCATACAGCTAATCTATAGCTAAATACATTTCAAAGCAAAAAGAAGGAGGGAGCAGTGCAAAGGGGATTGGGCGGCAGCCAGAGGCGGAGACCTCGGCGACCTGATCCGCAGGCGCTTAAACTGGCTCTGGGGACGTGGAACGTCACCTCACTGGCGGGGAAGGAGCCCGAGCTAGAAATAGTTGGGCTCGCCTCTACACACAGCCAGGGCTCTGAAACCCAGCTCCTTGAGAGAGGCTGAACTCTCTTCTACTCTGGAGTGACCCGCGGGGAGAGGCGGAGGGTGGGGGTGGGGCTGCTTGTCTCCCCCCAGCTCAGCCGTCTCGTGTTGGAGTTCACCCCGGTAGACGAGAGGGTCGCATCCCTTCACCTTCGGGTTGAAGGGAGGACTGACAGTTGTTTCGGCCTATGGGCCAAAACAACTTCAAAGCCCACGTGGGAAACCACAGTGACACCTGGAGGGGCATGATTGGGAGGAATGGACCCCCAGCTCTGAAACCAAGTGGTGTCTCATTTTTGGACTTCTGTGCAAGTCACGGATTGTCCATAATGAACACCATGTTCAGGCATAAGGATTTCCATCGGTGCACTTGGCACCAGGACACCCTAGGCCAAAGGTCGATGATCGGCTTTGTAGTCGTATCTTCTGATCTTCGGCCGCATGTCTTGGTGGTGAGTTGGATACGCTGGAAGAGGAGAAAGCCTGAAAGACTCGGCAGGCCCAAATGTGTAGTGAGGGTCTGTTGGGAATGTCTGGTGGAACCCTCGGTCAGGGACATGTTAAACTCCCACCTCTGGTAGAGCTTCTCTCAGGTTCCTCTGTTGTCAATGCGGCTGCCCGTAGCTGTGGCAGTAAGGTTTGCGGTCCCTGTTGTGGTGGCAATCCCCGAACCCGGTGGTGGACACCGATAGTAAGGGATTC